GGAGGAAACTCTATACAACTTTTGATTTGCCAAATAATCTGCCTGCTGCGTATATGCTTTATAGTGCATGTAAGCGTATCGATATTTCTTGGGGATGAATGAAGGGTTGTGTGGGTATGCTAGGCTGATAGTGTACTTTATAAGAGTGTGAGCTTCGAAACTGAGTTGCTATGGTGCTTCTTGGATTTCCAAACATTGGCTATGTTCTATGGTACACCAGTCCTATGCAATATTATATGTAATAAGACCAAATATTCGCTTTTTGAAAGCACTAATGAGCAAGAAAACAGAAATCTGTTATTGAAAGTGCAAGCATGTTCAATTTAATGTTTGTTAAAGGGCCTTTTTTTTATTATGGTTTCTTGGGAGTTTCTGTTTATTCAATGATGTAAATAATTTTTCATCCGAATTTGTTTGTTTAATATATATAGGTAAGGGTGCTCTGCGAGAAGGCCAAGGAAATATTAATGGAAGAAAGCAATGTCCAGGTGGGCCATTTTAGTTGCAAGTTTCTGTTTCATGTCTTTCTTTGTATTGTTTGTATTGTTTCATACTGGTTTTGGACCTATAATGATTTGGGCATGTCATGAGGTAAATGAATAACCATTTTGGGTTTTATGCGTTGCAGCCTGTAAAAAGCCCTGTAACTATCTGTGGTGATATTCATGGACAATTCCATGATCTGGCGGAGCTTTTCCGCATTGGAGGAAAGGTATTGTTCTGATTTGGGCTATTTAATTTATCGTATGTGTTCTTCAAGGTTGTTAATTGGTTGCTACTTATTTGTGATGTTTTCTCTTTCTTAATTTGTAGTTTTCTGGTTTGTTCTGTTGGATGTTTCACCTTCCAAAAATAACATTAATTTCCCGTTGCAATTTTTTTTTGCAGTGCCCAGATACAAACTATTTGTTTATGGGAGATTATGTGGACCGTGGCTATTATTCAGTTGAAACAGTGACTGTAAGAATTGAGTATTTTTATTTCTACTTCTTATCTTTCAATTAGTTAAGCTAGAATTTTAGGGTTCTCCTTCTGGCACTAAGATAAAAGGTATTTTGGGAAACTCTGGGCAATGATTTGGTTTGATTATTTAGGGTTTTGATCAAGACAATTAAATTTTCAATTCCTAATGAAAGACCTTAAAGTTATACTTTTGAGAGTTGGATACATGTTGAACATGAGCCATAATGAAATAGTTTGGCTGGCATATGTTAGAGCTTGCAAGCTTCCAAGGTTGTATATCAACCCTATTGTGAGCCAGTTTTGGTTGGTATGCTTTGCAACTTGATTAGGTCAGGTTGGGTAGTAAAATACACGAAACCTGATTTGTCTCAACCTGTGAGATCCCTTGATTTTTTTGCTAGCAGGGGAGACTGAAAAAAGGGTAGTACACATAAAGATAATGAGATTGGGTGTAAGCTATGTTGCGCTTTACTACTTAATGTTCATATGATGGGAATTTTGGGGAAAAAAAGAGGATGCTTCATCTTCCCTTTTGGCACTCTTTATGTATATCCTTATGATACTAACTTATTTATCATTTTTATTCAGCTCCTTGTGGCCTTGAAGGTGCGTTATCATCAGCGTATTACTATCCTAAGAGGAAACCATGAAAGCCGTCAGGTATTTTTAACTTCTGGTCTCTCTCTCCTTGTGGCCTTGAAGATGCAGTAGCTTCTACTAGGATTGCCAATTAGTATTGGAGAGCCTTGTAGATGCTCCTGCATCACTCCCCCTCCCTACGTTAGTTATTGCATTATTTCATATCAGTTTGGTACTACTTGCATGTGTGGTATTTGATTGTGGCTTTATGTTACTCCTATGCAGATTACTCAAGTTTATGGTTTTTATGACGAGTGCCTACGGAAGTGAGTTTCTAAACATTATTTGTTTTGTGGGTCAATTTTGATACAACTAAGATTTTTGTGTGGCTTGTGACTTCTGGAAGAACTCCATATGTGTGGCTTGTGACTTCTGGAAGAACTCCAATTTTCATTTTCCTTTGCTCAGGCCTAAAAAATATATACATGTAAAGGTGTTATTTATGTTTAATTTTCCTTAGAAAATTGTCAGTATATAGAAGTCAGTGTGCTTCAATTGAAGAAAAACATTAATTGCACCTGTGGACGTTGTTGCCTTTTAGGTTCGATGGATATTGTATGAGTGGCCGGTGAGCTATTGTGTGCATATATTTGTACACGCATGAATGTAGGTATGCATATTCATGAACGCATGTATATTAGTATATTGCAGCTGCAATTGCTATTCTACAACATAATCTGCACATATCATATTCACATTCATGTGATGGCTTTTCAGTATGCTTATTATGCTCTTGATTATTTGCTTATGCCCTTGCATTGACTGGTGATCAGTTACCTAGTTTTTGTCTTCCTGCTTCAGACTTCTCATTCCCTGATTTATCGTCTTGGTCAAGCTTGTAAAGTGACCCGTTCTTTTTCTCTTTGCAGGTATGGTAATGCCAATGTTTGGAAGATCTTTACAGATTTATTTGACTATTTCCCGCTCACAGCATTGGTTAGTATAGCTATACGGGACATAATTATGATGCTTAAATGGTCTTTGTAGATATTGCTAGTGCCTGCACTTTGTTTAAGTTAGCCGTCTGCATGACCATGAACATTCATTTTATTGTTTCTATTGAAAATAAGCACCCTCAAAATTTCTGGGTGCAACCTTCTAGTGCATTGCTGCCAGTTAATTGCATGAGTACCTAGTTCCGTTTCTAAATGCCTTCGTCAATCATGTTGCGCTGCAGCATGACTGTAAACTGCTATTACTTGTACCACCATGTGACGCATTGATCTACTCTGCATCTTTTGTTATACATCCATTGTTGATAGTCTTAGGTGTGGGTGAATAGTTCTGTTTCCAAGTATTGACATATGTTCTTTTATTTGTTTGAAGGTTGAATCTGAAATATTCTGCCTGCATGGAGGGCTGTCTCCATCCATTGAAACCCTCGATAACATACGTAATTTTGACCGTGTACAAGAGGTTCCTCATGAGGGTCCCATGTGTGATCTTTTATGGTCTGATCCTGATGATCGCTGTGGTTGGGGTATCTCTCCGAGGGGTGCTGGATATACGTTTGGCCAGGTACTTTACCTATTTATTCATTTCACTTTCTGTTGTGGTTGATAGTTTGAATCAGTTGGCCAGTCTTCAAGATTCCTGACTGAGTAGGCTGATTTGCTTCCCTTTTGTTGTTTTTAACAGGACATATCCGAGCAGTTTAATCATACAAATAACTTAAAGTTGATTGCTAGAGCACATCAGCTGGTCATGGAAGGATACAACTGGGGTCATGTGAGTATTTATCCTCATTCTTTGGCTGTGTTTATTTTGCGAAGGAAAGTTTTGTGTAATTAATTTGTTTACCGTTTGGCAGGAACAAAAAGTGGTCACTATATTTAGTGCACCCAATTATTGCTATCGCTGTGGAAATATGGCATCCATCCTGGAAGTCGATGACTGCAAAGGTCACACATTCATTCAGGTTGGTCATTACTTTCTCTCCGAACTCCCCTTCCTCTTCCTCAACTCTCTCTGCTATCGCAAACACATGCTGGCCAAATAGTACAAGTGATATGTTATAGTTCACTGAATGGTTATTCATATGTGTTCACGTGATCTATTCAGTTGCATACCTGCACAAATTGCATGGAAATGCTTGAAACTTTGTTATCTTGTATTTCAGTTTGAGCCAGCTCCAAGGAGGGGAGAACCGGATGTGACCCGAAGAACACCTGATTACTTCCTATAATGAAACTGATGAATCAGTTGCTGAATTACCTGCTGCTGCTGCTGCCTGCAAGGTCTCCGTATCAAGGTCTCTTCTTTAAATTTAAGATTATGAATTACACAACAGTGGTGGTGGTCGGTTTGGGAAAAAAATCATGTAGGATTGGCAGGTGAGGCTTCCTTGGATGGCGCACGAGTCTCTGTGAAAGGAAGCCGTGGAAATGGCGACACTGTTGCAGCATATGTACCATTTCCAGCAAACAATGTGGCATCTTCTGTTCTGATTTGTCAATCTTTTTTTTTATTTTTAAATTTAACTTTTCTGTAGAAGGATGGTATTTTTGGGGGGTTGGTGATTTTGTAGAGGGATGATGAGCTCGCTTCCTACGATGGGTGCTTTTTTAATTTTTAATTTTTTTTAAGTTTTCCCTTAATTAATGAATTCTCAATGTTCCAATAGGTTTATTTAATTTTTTTTTTTCATAGTCCAATTGGTAGTCTTGTTGGTTTCCCCTACACGAATCTATTTTTTATTTGGCTCTGTTGTAGACTTTTTGACATGACTTTTTTGGTGATATTACAATCAATACATTTTAGGCTTTTCAGTTAAAATGATTTCTGAGATTGGTATAACTTCTTACTTTGGTCTTGACATTTAAAATGATTGACGGTCTTGAGTTAGCATAACCCTTCACTTGAACTGAAGTGGAGGTGGTTTCTTCAATTTAATGGAATTTTTTCACATAATAATCAAAATGATTGATAGTGGACAATTTTAAAATTCACAACTATCAATTTTAAATCTTAGAGATTAAAGTGAGGAATTATAATAATTTCAGTGATTATTTTGATTAAAAAACCTCCATTTAAACAAGTTCTTAGATGAGCTATTGCTATTCTTTTCTTTCGACAAGAGAATGCCCCAGTTTATTAGTAGAGATAATATTCTATATTACTTTTTGCTCTAGCATATTGGTTACTATATTCTTCGCTTTAAACATGAGAGAGAGTGAGTTTGTTGTTTTAGACAAGAAAACGAAAGTCTATTTGGATGAGCTAAAAGTTTAATGTCATTTGCTTTGGACGAGAGAGATTCTATCGAGATGAGGTATAAAGAGAAAGAAAGTTCCAACTATCATTATTTGCATTTTTGTTATGAAAGTGAATTCTTCAATTGATACAGCCTACATACAGTAAACGCTCTTAACTGCTTGAGCTATAAGTCTTTTGAAATTTATATCGAGCAAAAATGTACACAATTTATACACAGCTCGAACACACGCAAAACATGTCTGAGTAATTTGATGTATAACTTCATGTTTTTGTTATTGGGACATCAAAGAAATGCGTTGATAGAGATCTTGTGTATGCCAAAGGCAGCATGAGAAGTTTCTTGGCACTCTTTACGTATGCTCTTTTTGTCAAGTTATCGTAATCGTTGTCTTCGATTGCGTCCAATATGTTTCGATATATCAGTAAAGATGACCATACCTGCAAAATTACAGCAGATAATTAGACAAAGAAAAAGGGAGACAATCTCTGAACTATCATGAATGACAAGAACGTGCATGGTTGATGAATAAACAGGTAAAACTGCAACAAAGGGACAACAACAACAACAGATTCGTATTGTTGTTTGTATTTGAATATTCTATTAGTTTATTTATCCTATGAAGTAAAATGTTTTGTTTTCTAGCAATTTGGAATTGCTTCTGTAGGAAGCACTTTGGTTAGAAGTTCTATGCTAGAAACACTTTAAATTCATAATTAAAAGTCTTAGTGCTTCCTAGATAAATACCGAAAAGTGCTTTCTAAAGACTTACCTAACAATTTTAAGACCCACAAAGCTCTTCTATGAACAAAAGCACTTTTAAATTTTTTTACAAAATATAATAAAAAACACTTTTGATTGTTAAAAAACGCTTTTAGTCATTCCAAAAAAGTCTCAAACAAGCGATGGATTGTTTTCTTTTTCGTCCCTGACATCAATGATGCTGGTAATGGAACAAAATCACTTAATAAAATTTTGGAAAGAGGTATATACCGGCCAACGGCTAGCCTTATCAAGCTGAGAAGCTCCTTCTTCTGCTAGGTTGAAATAAAACCTTGCTCTTGCAATTTGTTCTTTCATGAATGCTCTCCATTGATTAGTCACCTTTCTTGAAAAAACATCGTTATCACACAACCCAAACTGTGCAAGCTCGTCTTGGGGAAGATAAACTCTCCCTCTCATTGCACTAAAAAAACAATAGAAAAAAAATCAGATCAAAGGTGATGTGCGCTCAAACTTGTGTGTGAAAGATCAAACATATTACCCTAGTCAACTAGCCTAATTAATGTTTGACAATGAGGAACTTAGAAATGAGCAATTAGTGCATATCAAAGAAACTTACTCCTCTCCAACATCTCTAAGGATGTTTGTGAGTTGGTTTCCTATGCCCAAATATAATGCAGAATCATATGTACGTTGTGCAGAAATCAGAGAATCTGGTGCAATTCCCATTACAGGAACACTCATTAGGCCAACTGTCCCTGCCACGTAGTAGCAGTAAAGATAGAGCTCTTGGAAATTTTGGTATCGGCATTTTATTGTGTCTGTTCGCATACCCTCGATCATGTCCCGAAAAGGCTTGTGGTCACAAGAAGGGGAGTTCATGAGATGAAAAATTTGACGAGCACCAAATAATCATAAGTTTAGTGAACTAAATGATACATTTTATAAGCACCTTGATGTCTAAAGGGAAATTGGAAACAGTATGAGTTAGCGCAACATCAAGCATGTCATAAGGCCGTCCTTCGAAAATGTCTTCTAATCTTTGTTCCCATCTATCAAGAACTTCTGAGGTCATGTAGCCGGAATTCGGGCCGTCCACTAGTTCATCTGTCCTCCTACACCAGACTGCATTTCATTTTTCAAAAATCACATTATAATCATTCAAAATTTATTTGGACAAAGAATGATTTCTTGTGTGGCAACTTTATGAACATAATTTTTCTTCCAATTATGTTGAGTTGTACAACACCACTTTTTTGTTAACAAAGTGCTACTCTAAAATAATCTAATCTGCAAGACGAGAATTCAAGCTTGATTGCAAATGACATATTGCTTTGATCAACTGGCCTAAATAACATCTACCAGGTGAAACTACATGAACATAGAGAGTTGAATTCTCACCATAGATTGCCCATATCGCCTTTTGACGTTCTTCTGTCATAAGTAAAGTGCCTGCACCAAGAGAGTGCACAAGAATTAAATCCCATAGTCATGAAAAAATTGATCATTATTTTGAATTCAGTAGCGTGGCAAGCAAAATATCATGAAGTTAATGCTTTGGAATGCCGTTAAAAAATTTGATGGAGAAAGAAACAAGGGTGATGAAGTTGAACCTAGATAGAATGTCTTGGCATATTCTGCACAAAGGTTCTTGCACCTCTCATATGCTTCTTCAAGGAAGCTAGGGTTAAACTGCGGCCTGCTCCGGCCGCCTTCCCCGTCCACACTATAAGTCTGAGACTGCCTTTGAACGATTTCTTGCACTTGTAAATCAGCAAGAGGAATGCCTTGAATTGAAAGCTGAGGAAAAACAGGCCTGCTTCTATGCTTGGGAGCTGTAATCACTTGAGCTTTTGCTGCTGTGACCATAGATTTTCGACACCGAATTCTTCCATTGCTCTCTCCAATGTAAGTCTTTCCTGCGAAGGAAAATGTGGAACACATTTGGAAGTTTTTCAGTTCTTTTCAAAAGGGTCTAGAGAGAAATATAGAAATGTGAAATGGAAGACATCCTCTGCATTTAAATAGATACCCTTCGCTCTTTCATGATGTAATATCACTGTAGCTAGGATTTTTACGACGTTGGATGTACTGCAGAAAATGCCCACGGGTAAAACAAGCCAAATCTTGGATTAAAAGTCCAAGACATTTTCACCTCACTTTCTTCCCAAACCCTTCTTGTTTGTAGTAAATTGAAAATCCAAAACGTTTTTGTCATGGTTTGCACTATAAGGACACTAAACATGCGGTAATATATGTTTTAGTGCTATTTTATTGTTGGTTTAGTGCCCTCTAATGAAATAGAATATTTTTAAAAATAGAATTAGAGAGCACTAAACAAATAAAAAAAAAAGACTCTAAGTCATATTATGTAACAAGTGGTGAACTGTCTTGGTGAATTGGGTTTTCATTTAGAATTTTACCCAATCCGTCTTTATCCAAAACATGTTATATAAATGGCTTATTGTCCATTGTTCTAATTAAAATTTTGTAACTGGTTTTATTTGGGCATATTTCTGTAGATTATACGTGTCAACTAACAAATACACACACTTGAGTACAAAACCCTTGTTGGGTAGGAGGTGACGTGAATTACAAAGAGGCTGTTGTGTTGTGTTGTTTTTAGCTTATCTACTCAAGCGTTGTTGCAAAGGCTGTTTTCTTCTGCAATCTCATCGATAGAATCTTTCTGCAATCTCATCAACAGAATCTTTCTGAAAACATCAAAATATGATGCTCCTTTGAGCTTCTTGAATAATTTTTTAGTGTTTTGTCATGGAGTGATGTTTCAGTTTCAATATTTTGGGGCTCCATGTGGAAATTAACTTTGAAGGAAAAAGATTTCTATAGCGATTAAATAAAGCATGACTGAAACAACGAGGAAACAGATTAAACTGTTGTCATCTTGTATGAAATTATATATATTAAAACTCAGTTGATGAATACTGTTCATTACCAGTGATTTGACCGAAATGCCCCTCTTTTGATCCCCATGGCTCGTTTTTGTGTTCAGCACAATGAAATTACATGTTTACCCCCCATTGTCCGCCTGTCGATCATTGTGAAGGTTAGCTGAATTGGGTTTGCTTCGAAACAAACTCCACTTTTGCTTCCATTTCGTCTTCTCTCTCAGAAACATTACCTTCTCTCTCTCAGAAAGCACCAACAACACTGTTCGGCTTGCATAGGTTCGTGAATTTGATGAAAATTAAAATGAATTTAAGGAAAGGAGTTTGAAGAAAGCGAAGGTGTGCAGATGCTTAATGTTGAGATACTTCTGTAAAGTTTACAATCACACTACTTTTGTTGAATATCTCTTATGGCAATCATGCTTCCTTAACTATGTACTACTGCCTTACTCAAGCTTTTTATTCAGTTTTTGTACACTTCGATTGGTTTTTTTCTGGTTGGTTCGAAATACTTATGAGATTGGGAGACAACCCAGAAATTCAAATAAAAAATTAAAAAAAAACCGTGAATTTGGTCCCGATTCGAAGAAAATTTTAAGCCCAGAAAAAAGCTGCGTTTCCTGGTGAGTTTTCCGGCCGATTTGGGGTTGATAATTATGTGATTTGAATATTCTATGTTTAGAACTATATATTTGAATTTCAAAATGAGTTTTCTTTGCAAATTTCCCTTTTTTTATTTTGGGGGTTTTGTTTTCAAACTTGAACGCCTTTTATTTTTGGGGTAAGCAATTTAAAGTTTTTTTTAAGTTTTATTATATTGGAGTTGAATTTGGTTGTTCATTGGGGTTGATTTTGTTCAAGTTTTGGTGGATTTAAATTTTTTTTTTTTCATTTTTCTTATCCATTTCTTTTTGTGATGATACATGCATGTAAATGTCCACTGTAGGAGTTCTGTAGTAACAGTTCTCCATATCGTGAGGGAATATATTGTCATCCAGTTTGTAGGAATGTGAGGACTAAATTGATGTAGCCTGAAATAGTTTAGAGGAGTGCATGTATAAATAATAAACGTAAAACTTATTTTTCGTGTTTTTGTTTAGCTTATTTATGCTTTTAACTACATGGCATAGGTCTAACATGATTAGAACTTTAATGTCATGATGTGTGATGCTAATTAAGCACAATATGAGTATCTTAACCAAGAAAAACTTGAGCACCTATCTGTTCCTATTGAGTCAAGTGAGGCATCGTATGCACAAGCACGAGTCATGACTAATTAATGTCCTACGAAATAAACCATTTTTAAGACCTTATATCATTTGGATCTTTAGTTATGTAACAAGCTGGTCATTATGTTGCAGATTGAGACAAGTTTTGGAAAAGAAAACAAATTTAATTAAGTTTGGAGTTGATTTTGTTTGAGTTTAGAGGGTAAGTTCTTTGGCCGATTTGGGGTGGGTAATTTTGTGTTTAGAACTGCAAATTCTGTGCAAATTTCATTTTTCTGATTTTGGGGGTTTTATTTCCAGGCTAGAAACGTTGTCGTTTTCTGAAGCCCTCTGTACGCAAGGTAAGAAATTTATACTTTTGGTGGATTTGGAGTTTTGTTTAAGTTTGATCACATTGTTTCGCTATAATAATTTACATTGATTATATTGGAGTTGCAGTTAAATTTCATTGCGTTCTTGGATGAGTTGGTTTGTTCTAAATTTTGGATAAAGAATAATTCCCATTTGGGTATATATACATTGAACTCCAAACATTATATAACCAAAGGTATGCAAGAATCAGTGTTGATTTAAACATACAGCATTATGTGTGTATTAAAAAATAATGGACACCAGAGTAAACCTATTTAAGTATTGACTTATTAGTTTGACCATTTTTTCTCCTCCTCAAACAAAATGCAATTTTAACTGTGCAAGGTTAGGAATATGCACCTCTCTCCTTGGGGTTTTCAGTGATGTGTTTTAATTGAATTACAGATTTGAGTAATTAGATTTTTCAATGCTGTTATTTTTTTAACAATTTATGATGCTATTTGTAAAAATTGGTTAGGTATTTTTTTTTAACAACTATAATATCATTTGATTTCAATTCATAATTACTTCTTTTGTTAAATTTAAGCTTGATTATGTTAGTAAATTTTTATACTTTATGTCCAAATACATATATAGTATTTTATATGTATAATTTATTAAGTTTTATAATGTTGTTGAGCATTTTGAGTGTGCTCTTTTTGTGTGTAGAGAGTGAAAAGTGCACTGTTCACAAAGGCAAAACAAAAGACAGCTTCTACATATTGGAAGAAGAGAGGTTAGTTTGATCGTGATTTCTTTTTTGATTTGGTTAAATCGAAGTTTGCTTGCGTCTAATTCAGTCGTTTGCTAGCACAGGTTGAAGTCACTAGCTTTATTAATGGTGGTAACCGAAATCAACCCAAGCTCATGTTAAAACGATACATAATTTTCAATATGGTGAGAACTTAGACCATTTTTTTATCTTTTCCATTTTTTGAAATTTAGAAATTGAATTACTTTTCTATACCTTTTTGTGATCATGCATTGAGAATTTGTTAATTGTGTTAATATATATGAGGTAGGATTTATACTTTCTAAGATCCATTTCTCATGTTTAGAGATTGCTTGGTTTCGTATTGTCAAATAGTTTATGAATTTCCATATTAAGTGCGTCAATATGTTGTTGCCATAATTTAATTAGATGTGATATATATTGATGTGTTTATACCTTTGAAACATAATTTTTCACACAATTTCTAATCCCGCAACAACGTGCGGGCAAAACTTTCTAGTGGAAACTAAAGTCGGCGAGGGAAGTACTTAATTATTAAGCACTTTGGATTCAATATTAGTATTGAATATTTTTGTTTCTTGTTGTTTGTTTAGGAATTTCACCGGCATTGCAGACGGCTATGAGTTGACGGTTCAAGGTGGAAAATGAATTAATCATGACAAAAATCTACCTTTTAATTCCCCACGAAATGATAGGATGTCAATACTTTAGAACTAAACTATCTAACTTTTTTAACTTGGATAATTTATAAATTGTCGTTCATTTCTTACTTCAATACGTTTAATTTTAGCGAGTTAACTAATTTATTTTTAGGCACCAAATGTGACCTATGGTCTCATTTGATGTTTATGGTCGGATTCGATTGGAAAAAATTGTGGATTCAACATACAATGAAGAAGTAAATAAATTTAACTTTCAAATATTGTCTAAATTGAAAATACAAGATGAATTAGTGACGGAGTAAACTTATCGTTCCGAATTTCGTTATATTTTAAAAGGATAGAAAGAGCGAAGTTCAGTTCTCTCCACTTTTGTGGACACTATTGAGACAGAGTAATAAAATTGTGGTTTGCTACAAGGCGGGTCAGGGGTGGTTGGGAGGGGACACATTTGTTGACAATATCCAGCCAGAGGAATAAAATTTTTTGGAACTTGAATATCATGTATAAAATGATATGTTGGAACTCAAACTTTTGTCCAATTATCAAAGTATATTACTGCATTCACACATGGAAGATGCCATGGGTTGATCCAGAGATTTCTGGATTAATTAGTAAGTAGGTTGAAGCATATATAACAGCACTATTGTATGCTGACTAAGTAACATATAAATAAAATATGATAAAATAATCAAATTCAATCTTTGACTCATGAAACGCATCTTCTAGGCATGTTCATCTATTATCTTAATCCTAACATGGAAATCGTTCTTTTTAAAAAAAAATGAAGACAAAAGTACTAACATGGACATCGTGCTTTTACATGACATGCATTCACTTCAATTTTTTTTTCTTCCGGAAACAAGATATCAAGGGAGGGAGGAGATTCGGACATGGAATCTCAGATGTATAGAGTGAATAAATGTCTTAATTATTTGAGCTACAAAACCTTTACAGGTTTGTGATTTTTCCAATTATACAACGGTTACTTTTGTTGCTTTAATGACAACGTCGAGGGTAATGAAGGTTTAGGCAAGCAGAAACAATCCCCAAAGCAGAAAGGGCAATAAGAAACAGTAATTGGGCATGTCCGACTCCCACTAGCCTCTAACAAAAGATGACATAAATAGTTCGTTTAGAAGTGTTTTTAAAATGAATGAAATCGTTTTTAAAGAAAAATGTTTTTGGTTTCCAAAAATACATGAGCACTTCAAGTATTTTTTCAAGATTCATTTGTATTTTTGCTAAGAATTGGTATAAAAATATTTTCATAAAAAGCATTTTTAGCTATTTTAAAAGTATTTCCAAACGAACCCAAAATCAGGTGCCGAATCCCACAAAAAAAAAAAAAAACCTAACCCCACAGCCTGGGATAAATATGAGTTATCTTGAACGACAGGCGTTGAAGACGATCCAGGCCATTATATCTTGTCTACACAGAAGATATATCACTCGTTTATCTTTAGACTTATTGGCTAGGGCTTAACTGCCGCCAAGACCACAGAAACTTTACATGCAAGAAATCCAATCATCCCAGCTATGAGTTCTTTCGGCGTGAATACGATTGGGACGTCCCCCGAGCCATACTTCACTGTGAGTAAAGTGAAACCAATTGCCAATGCAAGGACAAATATTGGAACCTTAGATCCTCCGAAGGTTTGGTTGGTCTGTCCTGTGTTCGTGGAAGTCAATTCTGCAGCGGGCAATCCATCAACCGACCTTTGCAGTAGCAGGAGATAAAAGAAGCCGCCCATCCCAACTGTTAAAAATGCAAAGCTTATGTTTTCCGCAGCTGAGAAGGATGCGACTGATGTACCAACAAAGATCAGCATGGCATCGTAAAGCAGCAAAGACAGTTTCAAATCCTCGTATTCTCTCATGGTTTCCCCGTTTGATATCCCACTCACAGGTAGAGTTGATTCAGGGAGGCTTTTGGTGAAGATGCTGACGGGGTCAACCCGGATAGCTTGGTGACAAGGTCTAAGTTGTACCATGGAGCTGTCACTTCCCTCCCCCAGCAAGGTATCCTCAGCCTCAAAGTTGTAACTAAAACCAGTATTTTATTTTCATCCTTTTCTTCCAACGAACTTTGGCGCCCACAGATAACGATCAAGCTCACACTTCCTAACCGCCATTAACCTGATTTTGGACAGTCTAACAATTGTTAGCATGATTTGGTAAAACATGCGTAATGCCAGTTTTCTAATTCAGTTTTTGATCCTATATAAATTCAACTAGTTCGCATACACCAGAGACAAGAGTACATATAGTGAATCTGCTAGCAGTAAATTTTCGGTGTGCACATTCATCGTTTTATACTTAGCCTATGGATGCTAAACGAATTCTAGTAAGTCTAACCTGATTCAAGACTCAGCTTCAATTTTTCCAAGCTTAGTTCCCTCAAAGGTGAACGGATCAACAGAACGTCTTTGAAAGTGAAGCACGCCATCCTTCGAATCTGTAGCATGGTCTGTTACGACACTCAACACTCGACGGTATCCTCTGTAATATTGAGTCACCATTTTCGTCTATCACGCACAGGAGGATTCCAGCATTCAAGTCAGAGAGACTTGAGCCACAAACATTACTAGTACGGTACCTAACTTAAACTTGTATAGAGGCTGAGATCCGTCATCGCCGAGAAAAGCTTTTCCACTGAGTTATCTGTGCAGATTTTCACTTCTGTAGATGGCAAGACACGCGAAGGCTTAGCATAGCCCTTGGAATCTGAACAAAAGAGGAAAATATTTTAGTACACCGAAGATTTGATAGAAGTTGCATATGTGAAACGTCTAATGTCCCGCGCTTCATTTACCCCTCCCCCAATGTTGTTTGTTTAACGCTACATATTTGACAAAAGTATAGAAATTCAAAGATTTCAAAGGCAAGGCATCCAAAAATTCAAACTTTTGATATTTGTATTGGATTCTATACATATCCTCTGATTAATCTCAATTCTCTCTCTCTCTCTCTCTCTCTCTCTCTCTCTCTCTCTCTCTCTCTCTCTCACACACACACACACACACACACACACACACACAAACGAACACACACAAGTAAATGGCCTCCAAAAAACAGAAGAAAATCCAAAATCAAGTTAATGAAATCTAATAACATTTCAAACCCTTTTGTCTTTAACTTCTAAACAAGCAAATAAAGCATTAAAGCCAATCCCAAAATTTACAAATTTTCCTGAGTTTTCTCAGAAACCAAACAAAGAATTTATCTCTCTTCAAATGAAGGAAATCCCAGTGAGTGGAAAAGGATTTGGTGGGTGTTTGTTTACAGTGAAAACCAGAGAGTTTGGAATGAATTCGAAAACGCCGAGTTGGGTTGTGAAGGTGAAACCTTTGGCTCTGAAATTGGTTCTCTGGGTTACTTTGTCTTCTTAGTAGAAAGCTCTGATTGGTTGCAGAGACTGCATGACTCAAAGGAATCGACTCCATGGCTGGCTGTTTCAGAGCCCGACGCAAGCTGGGTAGCAGAACAAATTAGAGTTCGTACTAATACAAAAATGAGTTTTTAAGATTACTGAACATCTGCGCGTTTGTAGTCCAACGGTTAGGATAATTGCCTTCCAAGCAATAGACCCGGGTTCGACTCCCGGCAAACGCATTTTTTATTTGTTTTCTGAGTTATGCAGCACACAAAAGGTAAGTTGTGAATGAATAAAAGAAGGATGCATGGTTATTGTAGTTTAGTTGGTTAAGGACATTCATGGTTGCTTTGAAGTTCAGTTTTTTCCTTCACAAAAAATTGAAATGAATGATCAAGGTGAAAAACTTGAGTATATGTCTTCATTCTCTATACACACGAAACGTATTATTTTTTCTTCAGATATTATACGCAAAACACATTCTGGTAATTTGACATATAATTTCAGTTGTTTATCAAAATGACTTTTATATGATTTCTCACTAATTGCTTGATGATTGATTTATATATAAATTCGAGACGTAAAAGCCAAATTTACATATAACTTTCCATTTCAACAAGATGTGAATGTGAGTTCTGCTGCTCCGTTTTATAGAGATCTTTTGTAAGCCAAAGGCAACATGAGAAGTTTCCTAACTCTCCTTACATATGCTCTCCTTGTGAAGTTATCGTAGTCGTTGTCTTCAATAGCATCCAAGATGCGACGATATAGCAATAACGTACGCTGACCATATCTGCAAAATTAGTACTGCACATCATCACAGGAAGTCGATATGTGTGTGTGTGTGTGTGTGTGTGTGTGTGTTACTTGAATTCAAGTAACAAATGCAATGCTGCAAATACATTCATTGTAAATTTGTAGTGTAATGTATATGTATATACTAGTCAACGGCTAGCCTTGTCAAGTTGAGAAACTCTCTTCTCTGAATCTGATCTTCTCCTACTCTCTCCACTGATTAGTTACATTTCTTGCAAAAATATTGTTATTGGATAACCCAAAATGTGCAAGCTCGTCTTGGGGAAGATAAACTCTGTCAAGCGTAGCACTATAAAAAATAACAAAAAAAGGGACATTGGTCGGAGAGATAAATTGAGCGAGTGAAGAAATTAAAACCAACGTGTGTTTTAGAACATCAGCATCCAACCCAAAAATGATTGACAATAATAAGAGAGGCTCAATATGATATAAACTACTCAGGCAAAGCTTCATTTTTCGACGCTGGACAACTCTCAACACGATGTATATGAATATTAAAGAAGCTTACTCCTCCCCAACATCTCTAAGGATGTTGGTCAGTTGATTTGCAGTGCCAAAATGAATTGCCCCTTCATATACACTTTGAACAGGAATCAGAGAATCTGGTGCAATTCCAATTATAGGAACACTCATTAAGCCAAAAGTTCCACCTGCGTAGTAGCTGTAAAAATATAGCTCTTGAAAATTCCAATAGCGGAATTTTCTTGTGTCCATTCGCATTCCCTCGATCAAACAAGGATATTGTATATGAGTAGAATCATGTAAATAATTTTTATGAAACTAATGGAATATATACATTAATTGCATGTTTGGAAAAGAATATCCAAGCACGATTAGTAGCATTAATAGATAATTAAACACCTTGATGTCTAAGGAGAAACTGAAAACGTTATGAGCCAGTGCGATATCGATATGTCGTACGGGCGTCCTTCAAAAATGTCTTGCAGTCTCTCTTCCCACATAGCAAGAACGTCCGAGCTCATGTAGACAGAACCGGGGCCATCCACAATGTCACCTATCCTTCTGCCCCAAGCTACATGCATTTCGATTTGACAAGAATTAAAAAAAAAAAAAATTATCTAATAACGACTTGTAGTGGATACAAGATCTTAAACGTATAGTTGATTATTTTCATATAACCCAAAAATATGTTTTTATAGAGAAGGATCATGCGAGATTAATTTTTTAATAACGGTATACAATGAACACATCCAAACAACTGAGGACATACCGTGAGTCCCCCACCCATAAAAACTTCCTCTTTCATCTTGATTTGAAAATTATATATGTACACCATCACTTATTATAGAAATTTTCTGTGCAAGGACTTTCGGATTTTGTTAAAAAATAAATTTTTGCATCAACAAAGGATGAAAATACTTTGAGACGTTTCTATTATTGAAATTCTATTAACAGCTTATTGACACTATATCAATAGTCTATTATGTCCAGAGAAAAACTTCTTGTTACTATATATATGACCATAGAGAGTTAAATTGTTAATTATCATAGAGAGCCCATAAAGCTTTTCGGCGCTCCTCTGTCATCAATAACGTGCCTGAATCAAGACCATGCACCAGTAGTCATGCAAATGTGACAAATAGATTGGCGAGCAAAGATCATGTAATGCAACATATAGTTAACAAGTTTTGATGGGAAATAAAAGAATGAAGTTGGACAGTGGACCTAGATAGTATGTCTTGCCATATTCTTCACAAATCTTCCTGCATCTTTCATATAATTCTTCAACACAGCCAGGCTCCAACCGTGGTTTTCTGCGGGCGCCTTCTGTGGCCGTATTACACAACTGAGACTGCCTCTGAATGATTTCTTGAACTTGTAAATCAGCAAAAGAGGGAATGCCTTGTATCGATAATTCCGGAAAACAGGCATGCTTATAATTTGCTTGGCAGCTCTTACCAGTTCAACCCTTCTTGCTGAGACCATATATTTTCGGGGCGGCAATTTTCCATTGCTGTCTCTCATGCATGCCTTTGTTGCAAGAGAAAATATTGAGCACATTGTACAATTACACTTCTTCTCAAAACTTCGTCGTTAATATATACAGATTGAAACATGAGATGGCTCTTAAACATATGAACACAACATCTTCTATACATTTTACTGTTTAATTAAAAACTTAAAAGTACTATAAATTAATCTTATCTGGTGAGGAGAGTAGTAGGATTCTCTGCCCTTTTAATCTCATTTTTTCTTTCATTTTATCTAAATAGTTATAGTTAAGTCACATCAACAGTATACATTGAATTTTTTATGAAAAGGTAAAGACAAAAAGTAAAATGTAAAAAAGGAAAGGAAACAACAGAAAATATAATGAGAGAGAATCTCATTTAAATTGCATATTTTACATATCTTACGTACTGTCTACCCGGTCATTGTCACAATGTACTAGGTAGAATAAATTATACAAAATAGTAGTAGTAATAAAAAACAGCAATGAAAATCTTGACAGGTGTGAAACAAAATCTTCCGTTGATGTAGATCTGTCTTTATTTTATATCACATGGAAAACGTGCTTACATTATATTTTCATTTTCCGAGTGTATCAATTTAAATTACACAAAGCAAGGTCTGGTTGAAATATGAGAAATGTCTGCTAGGTGACCTTAACCTTATCAATATATATATATATATATATATATATCATGTTTTCTGCGTTCTGTTGAAGGAAAGGCGCACGACTGGCAAGATCATGCTGATTATGACGGTCCATTGCATACTAGGAAGAAGTTCACCATGCATGATATATATAATTTTGATATAAAAAATAACAGTCAAACC